TGGAAAAAAAAAAAAAAAAAAAACAGAGGCTTAAACAAAATTGAAAAAAAAAAAAGCATGAAATAAAAAAGTGTCTTTAAAATAAAAAAAAAATAAAAACATAAAAACAGGCAGAGATGTCAAAGATATACAGGAATAAGTGGGAGTTAGAGAGGTTTTTTGAGTAATATCAATATATTTGATTATTTCTTGAGAGCCCTGAATTCAGGTCATTATATAGTCATTGTCCCAACTTATGAAAGCAGCAAAGCTGAGATAAATAATTTTCTGTATTTAAAATAGGTCAGTACAACATTATAAAACAATTATACTCTAATTTTAAAAAATAAATATATAAAATAGGACTTCCCTGGTGGCTCAAATGGTAAAGCGACTGTATACAGTGTGGAAGACCTGGGTTCAATCCCTGGGTCAGGAAGATCCCCTGGAGAAGGAAATGGCAACCCACTCCAGTACTATTGCCTGGAAGATCCCATGGATGGAGGAGCCTGATAGTCTACAGTCCATGGGGTCACGAAGAGTCGGACATGACTGAGAAACTTCAGTTTATATATAAAATAGGTCAGAAAATCATGAAACAAATCATGTACGTGTGTTTAGACACCTCATTTGCAAGCAAGTTGTACATACATGGAGCCATCACCCAGGGCCTCAGGCCCCTTCCTCCTGACATGGAGGTACATTCCTGCCTTTTCCCAGACCCTACACAGCCCTCAGCCGTCATCCAGAGAACAAACCAGCTGTTCCGACGTGAAGCTACTGCTGGCGTGCCCCAAGAAGACTGACCTTACACCCCCACAGCCGCTCGGGGAGGCTGCTGTGCAGTCCGTGCCCCTCCCCTGCTGCGGTCCTTACCCAGTGACCCCTCTCCCCCTTCCTCCCCTCCCCAACCTCCATTAAGTCCTATCACCTACCTGTAGTCAATTTCCATGCCAGGCAAATTCTCACACATCCATGGAGTTTCTTTTCTCCCTTTTTCACTTAAGGAATCAAACTGGCCAAGGGTCAGTTATCTAAATCCTTAGGGAGCTTTATCAAATTACCACTTCCACCTTCTACTCACCCAGGAAGAACAGGAAGCAAGCATACAAAATTCCAAAGTCCCAGCTTCTCCAGCGCTCTCTGAGAAACAGTGGGCAGATGAGAGGATACATCTCCAGCTTGAGCTTATAAAAAAGAATATTATTGGGAAACCTACTCTAAGTGCTTTCAATAAGCTTCAGTTTCGCTGGAAAACCCTGGCATTTGAGGGTGTCTTAAAAGTTACATTCAATTTATGCTTTCAAACAGTACTGTCTTCTTCCTCTTAATCTCTTCTTTCTTTTGTTCGTGTTGTTTTTTTTTTAAACTGGGACAACTGAAAAAAGCTTATAACAATGATCAGGGAAACCCAAAGTCACATATGTTTAAGTGAAATTTCAGCAATATAGAGAAATCTTCAAAATACTTGAAAAGGCCAAGAATCTCATTTAGTTCTTCCATGAATTTTATCTACCTTCCCACCCTCTTTCTATTGGCCTATTCCTTCCCAAATAGTAGCATTCAAAAGAAATTACAAAATGGTTTCTTCTTTAATGTTCCTACTTGCTGGTTTAAAAAATATATCTCACATAAATTACAGGGCCTAAAAATCCAGTATCTATCGGATCCCATAATACTTATTTTGGAAGGAAACTAAGCACCCACTAGGTTTCATATCTCCCCTACCTCTCTCAGATAAATAGACAGAGATAAATAGATAAATATAAATCTAGCAGCCTTAAGGTGAGATTTTCAGGTTAGATACATCCTGCTTCAGACATCATTTTGAATACTTTTTTCTTGTCCTAGAAAATAAAGCTTTATAATTGGACATTATTCTACTCGGGTCACTATGTCTTCTACTCATCTTGTGATACAGGGGAAAAATAATTGGATTTTAGAATCAGAAGATGAATTGGAGCCTTGGGTCTACCCTCTCCTAGTTTTACTGTTATGAGTCATTTACTTTATCTGTTTGTACCTCAATTTTCTCAGTCACATAATGGGCATAATGATACCTACACTACCAAAGAAATCGTGAGGAACCAATAAAATAGCACGTGAAAATGTACCCCAGAGAATATTTGGACTTGTAGCAGTTAAAAGCTAAGTAATAAATCCCCCAGTTACAGCTACCACAGTGAATATTTCATGATGTTATACAGACATTGTCCTGGTGCCTGCCATTCATTTCAGAAAGTGACTCTTCTCAAGAAAGAGCTTGAAGAAAGAATCTCAAGTTGAAGGAAGGTTCGAGACTTTCTTCAAATAGCAAAACCTAATTTTAAAAATTCCTAATACAAAACCAATACCTCTAGTCCAAATAGGAAATAAATGAATACACTATAAGACAATCAAGAAATGAATTAGCAAAACTTTGTCAATATTAGAAAAAGAATCCAGATAAACCCAAAGAATATTATTCATGCAGCCTTTCTTAGTGAGGAAAAATAGAATTTTGACATCAGAAGACCCCACAGCTCCTTTAGACAGACAGAGATAATTTCTTACTGTTTATATTTTAAATTATGTAGTTTGTTCTGATTACCAAAGAAATATATGTTCATCATAGAAAACTTGGAAATTTTTTTGGGGGGGTGGTGGAATTACTCAAAACTTTCTGAAAGTGTTGATCACTCAGTCGTGTCCAACTTTTCACAACCCCATGGACTATAGCCACCAGGATCCTCTGTCCATGGAATTCTCCAGGCAAGAATACTGGAGTGGACGGCCATTCCCTTCTCCGGGGGATCTTCGTGACCCAGGGATCGAACCTGGGTCTCCTGCATTGCAGGTAGATTCTTTACCATCTGAGCCACCAGGGAAGCAAAACTCAAAACTTTCTACCTAAAAATAATTGTTGTTTTCAATTTTTTTGCATATGCATTATTTTATTTTTATTTCACTTAGTAGTATAAGTATTTTATCAGATCACATAAAAAATGTTCCTTGACTATAAAATGGTAAATAGCTACACATTACTTCATCATAAAGATGTATGCTGTTGTACATACTTATGGTATAGCATGTTATTTGAGTAAGGCAACAGAAACATCAAACTACAGAGCTGAACAAAATAGAGATGTTTATTTTTCATAAACAGTCCTGGAGTTAAGGTAAGGCAGTTCCACAGTGTTAGAACCATACAGCCAAGTCTAGGATGAAAATCTGCTCCACTATCTCCAGGCCATCACCTCATCTGTGCTGCAAGATGGCCAATCCCTGTATCAGCATTCCAGCCCACAGAAAGAGGACAAGGGAAAAGAGGAAGGCAAGGCACCTATTAACACCTGTTCTGGGGACACCACCTAGAAATCATATACACAGCTTCTGCTCATACTGTATTGGCAGAACTCAATCATGTGGAAAGACCTAATTACAAGAGAAAGCTACCAGAATTCTAAGTATCTAAAAATTCTGTAACTATGAATTTATGGGGGAAAAGAAAAGATGTTGTGGTCCATTGGGTTTCTGCTGTTCCTTTAGAGTTCTGATGTCATAATGTAGCCTAATCACTCTCAGCAATCCTTTTATCTCTTAACCTTCAGATTCTAATCTAACAGATACCTCCAGGTTTTGGAGTATAAAATATTGGTTTGGGTAATCTTACTGAATAGTCTAGTCAAGATTCTGGTGGCTGGGATGAGAAATATCAGGTAGACTATAAAATCTGGAGATTTCTCAGGATACTTTTTAACAAGGAGAATGTTATTTTAATAAGATTATTTTGAAATGTGTAAACATTACATATCCTGTAAACACACAAAAAACTACATAAATTATTATTTCCCAATTCCCATTTCAAAACATCAGTATTTCAACTTCAGATTTCTGTTCCTATGTAGCCACAGTCCTGCTCTTCCAAACAAACAAGCAGAAGGCACAACATTCTGGAGAATCATGCAGTGCCCATAAAACTCAGTGCATAAATTCACACAGAGGTGACAGAAGTCCACCAAAGGGCAGGTATTTCTACCACCAGTCCAGTGACTCCTCTCAGCTTTCTACTGACTTCTGTATCATATGGTAGGGTCAAATCTTTTGTAAAGTGGCACTCAGAATGTGTTGATTTCACTCTTTGGCACAACTTTTGAACTTGGCTTCCCAGATTTGAAGATCCTTAAAGCCATCCTGGATTGGGCTTCTTTAATCCTGGTCACTTCCTTCCACCCATCAATTCTGGCCCTTCCCTTTTTTCCAGAACAAAAGAAGAAATTCAGTCCTGAGCTTCCTGGCAGTTACTGTTCCTCAGCAAGTTGAGGACCCTTTTTCTCTACATCAGACATAATGTATACCTATCTCCTTTAATGTTTCTCTTTCCTCTCTTTTCTCTCTGAAACTTTCCCTTCCTCTTTTTCTTGCTGCACTCTCTTGTTATACCTAAGCCAGTTGAGTGGCTCCTGATGACCATTTACCCATTGCTGATCCCTTACCCAGGGCTCCTCAGCTAAACTTCAAAAATTTAACTAATGAAGTGACCTCTAATATATTGCTTAATTTGGGGGAACTACCCATTACACTTCAGTAGCCAGTGGAACAGTGTGGTGATTTCCATGATCCAGGGATGCAATGCCCATGCAAAACACACGATAAGCAATGCCTCCAAGTTCCTTATAGAAAATGCCTGATTTTAAAATATTACTAAACAATATATTGTAGAATGAACTGAAATATGGGCACTTAAAGGCTTATAGAGTCAGATCAGTAATTACAAAAACCAATTTCTCAGATTACTGGGAAAACTACCAACAAAGAAAATCTTGCTCCCCCTGAGGTGACTTTAGCACCTTTTATTATTGAAATTCCACTATTTATTGAAACAAAGAATATTCTTTGCTTTTGTTTTCAGTTTAGGATGTGTGAGAATAATAATAAGAGAATGTCCTGGAGGGTAAATGGTGGACATAATAACGTAAATAGACTTGGTTCTCAAATCCATCCCTATAGAAGAAGGGAGATAATGGAGCAGGGTAGCAACTGAGTATGGAATGTAGAGTATGAGGAAATAGATCATCAGCTTCATAGCACCCACATGAGCTTCAGTCTGGGGATTCCAAAGAACAGTGGCACTTCTCTGCATCTTCTGTATATGTCTCTTCAAGGAATTGATTAACAAAGAAGCAGAAGTCACATTAATGATGAATTGGAGAAATGAGCTCAAGACCAAAGGAGTCACCAAAGACAAGAGTCCCTCATTGATGTCAAATACTGTGCCATTTCTCACAGTCACAAATTCAAGAGAGGGTGCCAACTGTCTGAGCATAACATACAGGAGAGTGGTGAAGACAGAAAGGAGCATACAGACCAGCAGCAGCCGGAGCATCCTGGTGGACAGATTTCGTTTCAGCAGGAGAAACATTGAGTGTTGGTAGTTAGCAATCTTCACACAATACAAGACGTTGAGCAAGGTTACAAACCAAAGACTACTAGAGTCCAAAAACATCCAACATGACAGGAGAAAACAGGATAAGGAGACTGACCTTTCCACATTTGGAGAGACGATGACGACAACATTCAGTAGCAGTATAAAAAATCTGGTGATGCCCAAACTGAACAGGAGTGTGTCAGAAGAAGAGATCCTGTGGCTTTTGATGCAAGTCTTGTAACTGACCACTACAATGAAGAGATTCACAATGAGTCCTACAAAAGTTAAAATTTCAGAGACAACAATAGAAGAAAAAAAGACTATCCGAAGCATCTTTACTCATTGAGGACTCAGGAGATGCGGTGCTGATGCTGGGAGCAGGGAAAATATTGTAATGTACAAATAGGCACCAGTACCAAGCCAGGAAAGATATTTCCTATTTTAATTTATCCACTGTGGCAAATGAACCATCAGTGGTCTAACAGCCAGCTGCTTTTACTGAGATGCAAATCTTCCAAGGATTGCATTACTATTTCTTCATTCAT